TTTTTACCAATTTTACAAACATCTGATAATCTGAACAACTACTTTGAAAATAACAGTATGCAATATAACATTTGTTGAATTCCTATCATCCTAGATTTTGAAATTCTGTTTCTAATGTTTTTATTATGTTTAATTCTCTTTAAAATATATACATGAAAATAAAAAAAGAAGCTACCAATTAGTGATGGCCACAAAATTTTCTACCTGTCAATTTGTGTTCTAAGCAGCTTTCTTTTTCTACAGAACCAAGGCTGTCTCATCTCAAAGACATGAAAAAAAACATGAAGTTTTAGAAGGTCTTTTACATAAGAATAGTGTTAATGAAATTTATTAAATGAATTATCTTGAAGAATACAGAATGTTTTTTGTTGTTGTTGTTGTTGTTCTGACTGTACCATGAAAATCGATGATTTAAATTCACATTAAATCTGGAAGTCCCTTACTATGTGTGTCAAAAATTTTTACCAAGTAACTGGGTGGGATGTAAGTAAGGATTCTGAGGAGATAGATTTGGGAAATGTTCAGCTTGAGATATGATAGCACGAGACTGATAATTTTTGATATATTCTGATTTTCTCAGGGCCAAGGATATAGTTAATATTTTGCTTTGATAACTGAACCTCCTAAAGGAGCACAATTAAAAATAAAATAGGGCATTAAATATTTAAGATTGAAGAAATAATTATCCATACATGCACAGAGTTCAAAATACAGTGCTGAGGAAAATAATGGAGAGTGTCACATTCAGTATGAGAGCTTCTCTGTTGTTAATTTACATACTGTCAGAGCATGCTTGGGAATGAATTAGTTGAACTCACATGTATTTATGGCCAGGCATCCTGTAGGAAGAGGAAAGAAGCACTTGGTCCTGGAGAGAACTTAAGGATACTTTGGTGTTACTTAAATGTTTAAGTTAAACTGAAGAAAAAATGATAAAAGTTTAGTATTTTCTTCTTCTAATCACGAATAATTGAGTGCTTTGTAGATTCAGCATTGACATGTCTACAAAGTTAATATGTTAATCCTTCAATGTGGATTTTCAAATCTCTTCAATTTGCAGATTTCCATAAAAAATCATTTTAAGGCCAAGTACTACATGACTAAATAAACCACTTTGTCTTTGTTTTTCCCTTCAAAATTTCTGTGGAACAAACTTCACTAGACTTGTTGGAACAAATGATTTCTGAGCCCTTCATGTGTCCACTGTGTCCACTCAGGTGGTAGCCAAAGCTCACAGGTGCTTGGAGAACCATCATTAGTGCTTGTGACTCATTCGCTGGCTTATTACCTTGGCCACTAATTTCACGTTAACATTTAGTCTTTGAAGTCACACAAACATGGCCACTGGCAATTCATATATGAAGAAAGGAACTTTTAAAACTATGTCCAAAAGTAAGAATGTCTTCGATCAATCAATTCAATGTCCCTTCCATTTTTAGTATCATCATTCAGTGAATTCTGATTAAAGCTCACAGTGTAACAATTTTTGTCTCAAAGTATCACTTACCTCTAGATAAAGTTGGAATGATTTCTGGTTATTAATTACAAGCAGATATTCAGTGCTTCTGGAGTGCATGATCATTACAGGCTTCCAAAACTAAAGGTGTTTCAGTAATGATTTTGAAGTAAAAATAATGAAGTCACTCTAATAAAAAATAAAGAAATAAAATGTTAACATACTTTATTTTGTTTTATTACTATCAGTGCTTATTAGTGTTACAGAATGGTGTAGCTTTGTTAGGTAGATTTGCGTGTGCATTTACTCTGTCTGCATCTCATTCTGTTCCACTCACCCCTCTTTTTTTTCCGCATTCCAGTGAAGCTCTCCTGAGACCCAAAATTGTACCTTCTGGTTTCCTGCCATCCCTCTTTAGAAGTTTGTATTTACTTTTATTTCTCGCATAAGAAAACATGATTTTTCACTTTTGAATCTGAATACTTTTACCCAATTGATGTATTCCAGCACATCCATTTTTTCTAAAACTGACGATTTCATTTATTGCTGAAAAAAAGAAACTTAAAAAAAAGAAGTCACTTACAGAGTTTCCAATTCCTCTTCCATCTGCAACAATTTAATAGCCGTTAAATGTATCGAATCATCTGGTATGTTTCCAAAATTGCTCTGAACTGATGTGGAAGCATTTGAGTTTTTCCTAGAGGCACAATGGAAAGTGTGGAAAATGGTGGTCTTGCCCAGAGTTGTGGCGACAGCACAGATGGCCAAGCGCGCCACCCTTCTGGCAGCAAAGCCACAGAAATCAGGGCAGCGGCCCAAAGTAATTATTTTTTTAATGTTTTTGTGACAGGATCTCACTACACAGCTCTGCGGGGCTTGTGCTGCAGATTAAGCCTGGGTCCCTGTGCTTGCCTAAGCAGATTCTTAGTCTACTGAGCTACTTAGCAGCCCATAAGGAAACTTTCTTAGACATAGGTGAACTGAGTCCAGCATCCTCCAGGGGGCCCCAGATCCTCCAGTGCTGCCCTGTCAGTCCCATCTCAGCCCTGTCTGCACAGCTCCTGCAGGCCAGGCACCCTCCAGCCTGCCCACTCACCTAGACCTAGCACACAGCAATGGTGGGCCTGGGCAGGTCCAGGGAGCGCACTTTCTCAATTCATGGTGCCAGGCTTCCGGGGCCCATTCAACTGCTGTTGCTTTTCCTGCTTGGGCTCCTCAGGTGCATGGGTGCTTGGCGTCTCTGCATTCGCCACTGAGGGCTTCATCCTTCTGTGTTCATCCATTTCCTCAGCGTCCCTTCTGAAAGCCTGTTGGTCAACTGCTGGCAATGTGGGCTACCGTTAATGGGAGGGGCCTCAATGGTGAGCTCCTCTCAAAGCACCTGAGCTCCTTCAAAATGCGCATGCTCCCTCTTGCACCCTCTAATGCGCATGCTCCCTTCCTGCTCGGGTCCAATACACTGTCAATTCGGTTTCATCCAATTGAAGTGTCAGCGGCCCAGAGAATAGTGCAGATGTTTTCTATTCCATTTAGTAGGCAAATAAAGCACAGCTGAGTAGCAAAGAAGGCGCTGTTGTTCTGGGTAGAACACAAGTTTCCAGGGGAACATAGTCCAAGGTAACACAGGCTCTGACCAAGAGCAGGACCTGTGCATACCATGGCAGTTGAACACTTGGCCAACTAGAAGTGCTGTGGAGACCTAAGGAGGGCAAAGCTTACAGGGGAATCACAGGTTGCATCTTGGGACAGCTTGAAGTTTCAGGTGTAGCGCGCTGGTTGGGAAACCCCCATGCAATAATAACAGAACATACACATGTGCCCTTCAGGAACTTGAGCTCTGCATTCAGCAGACCCTAAGAGAACCTCAGCAGATAATGCTGTTGACAGGATATGGTGGAGACATAGCTCTTGTACCTATCTCAGGTAATCTTCCCATCACAACAATGATCACTAGATTTCATTCTGTGACATGAACCCAGCTGAAAATAAGCCCAGCTGACTACAACAGAGCCCCTTCACAGTGGCCTTCATCAGTCCCGGCTGAGTGCACACTAGCATAGCACCAGCGTCCCTGCTACTGTTGGGCAGTACTTAAGGTGGTCAAAGGACTGGGTGTCAAAGCGGCAGATGCTGCTGTTTGTCATGTTGGGGGCTGGAAGTCCTATGGAAGGATCTACTTTCACGACTACATCCTGAAACATTACATCAGTTGAGACAGACTCATTTTCATGCAGGAATGGAAGGAGACAGTGAGAGTTCAAACAGAAATGGCAGCACACTGTCACTTACTGCTGTCATACACTGAAGTGAAAGAATTTTACTCCACATACACACACATGGACAAATAGACACACTCACAGTCACATGGAGCCAATACCTGATATGGGTATTTCTGAAATTTACTTTAATAGTATGATAATTCTGCCAATTATACCTAGAATTTCAAATGGATATACATTGCTGGTTTTGTAGAAAGTGGTTGGGAACTTCTTCACAAGCTGTAGGTCAGAGGTGATCGAGAAATTTTCTACCAATCAATTTGTGTTCAATATGATTTTGCCTTTCTACATAAACAAGACTGTTTCATCTCAAAGATATGGAAATCAACATGAAATTTTAGAGTGTCTTTTAAATAAGTGCTAAGGATATATTCAATATTATGATTTTGTAACTGAACAACTTAAAGGAGAATAATTAATAACATGTGGCTAAGGAACTACTGCTTAGCCACTATTCTATCAAAAACTTGGAACAGGTTCTTATAAACCTGGCTAAGGAACTGGCAATCCTTCAGGAAGATCATAGCTCCACCATGATTAGCGCCCGTAGCACCAGAGTAGGCATTACAAAGGTTCAGGAATCTGTTTTACAGTATTTCATAAGGAGAAGTCTGTCCAAATTTGGCTCCATTTTGGAAATCTGAGCAAAAAGAGGAAGAATATTTGGGTGTAGCTTTGGAAATGCACAAGATTTTCATAAGTTTCTCCCACAAAACTCTTTGTAGATTAAGACTTTGAAATTTTAAGCAGTTTTAGCTCTTCCACCATGAATTACCTCCACAGAGCACAGTGTAGAAAGGGAGTTCATCTACTGAATGCGCCCACAATCTAGCTTGGGAGGGATGTCCAAAGACAGTTTGCTCTTTGAAAGTAGTTGTTACTTTGAGTGGGGACCTGACAGTGTATCCCTCATGCCCAGACAGTGCTTGTTTTCCAAACTCTTCATGGAATGTGACAGTAACATGAGTGCAGCAGGCTCTGCTTCACGTTCAGTTAAATAAGTAGGAGTGCGGAGAGCAGATACTCATCTACAAGTGTGTTCGATTTACCTGAAAGCTACTATGGGTTGTTTAGGCAGAATTTTAGGATAATATATCTAGGACGTTGCCTATTTATTGCATCATCTTCAAGTTTACACTTCCCCTGGAAACAGTTATTTTGTTGCCTTCACACCATTCCATTCATTTTCAGAAGGAAAGGCACTTCCCAGCTCTGTTAAGCATGACTAATGGTGTTGTGTAGCTGTTCTGAAAACCATCCACTTTTGTCCTCAACTAAACCATCACATCTTTTTCTTTTGTTTTCTAGATGCAGATTCAGAATGAAATACTCCTGACCATGCAAAGGCATGCCCAAAGTTCCTGGGCAATCTCAAACATTTGGTAGGACTACTTTTCCTAATGAAGGATTAGGCTGAAATCTATTGCTATTTTATGTGATGTGTTCTATAAATATTTAAAAATCTTACATGCTGTTTCAATTTTTCTTTTTTTAATACACATAGTTTTATTAAATAAATTTTAAAAACACAAAATGCAACATTCTTAAAAATCCAAAACTTACTATTGGTACTAGTTCCTGAAAATTTGTTGTGCTACCATACACATAAAAGAAACTGTAAAATATTTAGGAACATTCAACATCAAAAGCTTTAAAATCTAACGGTATGCAGTAGCCCTTCAAAAAGCTACAACCTGAATTTTGTAAACTAGCATTTTTTTCTACAAATAATTTTTTCAGCTATATAAAAATCTGTACAGTTTTTATACTGAAGCTAATGTTGAGATTCACTTCAATTCACTTTTTTTTTAACTTTAGAGAAAGGTTTACAGGGTGTTCAGGGTCTCACTACTAGATCGAACTCATAGTTTTCTGTTTACAGCCTCCCACGACCTGGGATTATAGGCATGCCACATCACGTCCCATCTCAACTGCCTTGTCAGGGTGCCTTGGGGTTGTTGCTGGCACAGCAGGCTGGGGATCAAACCCCTAACCCCCGGGCCTAAAGACTGCAGGTGCTTATATCTGCTGAGTTATATGTCTGGCCCTTTCAATTCACATTCTTAGGAAAATAATTGCCTGAGTACTCATGTACTCCACATGCCATTACAGGACAGCCACTTATTCTTCATCTTCTTCCTCTTTCTTCTCTTCTTCATCTTCAACCTCATCTTCTAGTTCACTTCTCTTCTTTGAGCCTGTTGGCCTACCAGGGTCCTTCTTTCCTGCTTCACTTTTGCCCTTGGCACAGTATACTGCAATATCCTTTTCGTATTTTTCCTTTAGCTTAGCCGGTTTTTGTTCATATGGTTGTTTATCTTTGGCTGACTGCTCAGACCACACAACACCCAATTTTTTTGCAGTATCTCCAATGGACAGGCCTGGGTGTTCACTTTTGATCTTTGGGCGATGTGTGGAGCAAAACAGGAAAAAAAACAGGCAGATTGTGGTCTTTTAGCAGCATTCTGAACTTCTTTTCTCTCTCATCACCAGCTTTGGGAGGAGTGGAATTCTTCATCTCCCTGTCCTAGAGAGCTTTACCATTCTTGGCCATTTCTTCAAACTTTGACTTTTCCTTAGCAGACATGGTCTTCCATCTCTCGGAGCACTACTTGGAGAACTCAGCAAAAATGACCGAGGAGTCAGGATGCTTCTTATGCTTCTCACAACAGGTCCGCACAAAGAAGGTGAAGGAGGACATCTTGCCCCATGGCTTGTTGGAGTCTCCCTTGCCCATGAAGGCTCAGTCTGCTGTAGCTTTTCCTCAGGGTCCCACAGAGCAGTGGTGTGCAACTGAGACACTTCCTTTCTAGGGCTCCAGTGAGAACAGTTTTCAAGTTTACAACTGTCCATACATTCAGTTCACTTTTAATATCTTTTAAAATGTCCTTGTATAATTGGAAACCTATGTACTCTCTTTTACCACATTTTGGTACCACTTTATCATTTCAGCACACCCATGATTAAGGAAGGAATCATGCATTTAGACCTATTTTTCTATCTTATTTTGTTGCATTCATCTTGTTTCACACAGCATGATTTATATTTTTTTCTTTTTTTTCCCATAATTTTATTGAGAAACAAATAGCAATGAGACAGTTTCAAACCAAACTGGTAAGACAGATGCAATAATTAACACATTGCATACATTCTTCCTAGTGGTTAATTGCAGTACAAGAAGCGAACATGATATCCTATTTCCAAACACTATTAGAACAAATCCCTCTATTCATTAAGAGAATGTAACTATATATCTATCCTAACCACTTTGAATACACAGATACAAAATGGACATTCATCTGTATCCTCTTTTTTTGTTAAGTTCTGTTATTTGAATATTATAGGT